ATTATCAGTAACCCGAATTTCTTTTTTAGCTTTGACCAAAGACTCAGATTTTTGGTTAAACAAGAATATTACAGTATAATTAATCCCGGAATTATATTATTTTTTTATCCCCGTAAAAAAGTGAAATAACTAATCCCAAAATAATTAATCTTAGAATAAGTTTTTTCCAACCAAACGAACCCTACAATTCATAGACAGTAACCAAAGAATGCTGTGATGAAATATGACTAGATATATATGCATATTGAGGAGACACAAACAGAATGCAGTAAAACAGATAGTACAAAAGAAGGAAAAACAAACCAAAAAATAAAATAAAAAAGTACTCTAATCTGATGAAAATAAGGCATCTTTGTAGGAGGAAGCATTTCTACTACTGGAGAGACTCCATTGATCGGAAAAGCCGACGGAGCTGGCAGAAGAAGAGGTTCCACTTTTACCACATTTGGCTACAGTTCTCACACTCTCAATCAACTCTTGAGTGGCAGTTTCTTGTGACAAAATCTCCAATAATTGTTTAGGACTTATCACCAATTTCACTTTCCAAAAACCACCACCACTGCTCCTCTTCTTTCTCTGACTGTGACTGCTGCGGCTATTGCTATTGCTATTGCTATATCGATACAATGCTTCTGTATAAGATCTTTTTAATAATCCTTGGCTATCAAATGACATTCTATAAGGAGCAACTACTAGGTTTTGGATTTGAGGAGGAAGTGGCACGCTGTTTGACCTAACATGTCCTATTTCTATTTTAGCCATAACATTATCAATATTCTCAGTAATAATATTGCTGCTACTATACTGTTCTTTGTTGAGCGGCAGAAGATAATAAGATTGTCCTGCTAGTAATACTTCTTGTGCTGGTAATGGCTTCCAAAACAAATCATGGCTTCTAAAAATGCCATGTCCTTGAAATTCTTCAGTGATTGACTCTACTGTAATCGGAGCTAAGAATTCCATGATACCACCTGTTGATGTTATTACTTTGACTATATCTTCATTTCCATCTCCAACTCCTCCAAACAAACAATTCCCCATATATATTTTCTTGGTGGAATGTTTAGTTCTAGCTAGTAATAAAAAGGGGGGAATTAAAGGGGTGAGGGTGGAATATATATGGGGACCTTTGATGGTTTTGTGTCGTCGGTGGAATTCTTCTTTTTGAGCTTTTCTTGATCCCAGCGCAGCAGCTAGCAGATATAATAAAAAAGAAAAAAGAAGAAAAGCACATAAAGAAGATCATGAAGAAAGAAAACCTACTACTATGATTTATGACCAATATATTACTCTCTTTGTATAGCATGGGGTTTAAGGTGAGTCTTGACGTAACTGGTAAAGTTTCCGCCATGTGATCAGGAAATTACGGGTTCAAGCCGTGGAACAGTCTCTTACATAAATGCAGAGTAAGATTGCGTACGATAGACCCTTGTGGTCCGTCCCTTCACTGGACCCCGCGCATAGAGGAAGCTTAGTGCACGAGCTGCTTTTTTTTTTTATATAAAATGGTGTTTAACTTAAAGACAATAAAATAAAGAAGGTGTTTGTGTATAAAAAGTGTGTTTGGTTTAAGAGATTAATGGGGCCCCAGAATGCATTATCTCCATGATTTCAGAGAAAATGCAGTCAAATATAAACAGCTAAGCTATAGTATTCTCCGTTTGCTGGAGAGTTGCCTTTCACTTTTTCTCTTTAGTGAAGGGAAACAAAAATGGGACAAGCTCTTTTGTCTAATTTATTAAAGTGAAAGTGGGAATGCAGTATTCCCACCAAAGGAAACGCATTTTCCCGCATTTCCGCGCGCACCATCTATTCCAAAAACTGTCTAAGCACTTTTTATTTATTAATCACTGCAAATTATGTAGCTATATATACCATATTTTTTTGGGGATATTTGGACTAATAGCTTGTTTGACCAAGCTTCTAAAATCAACTTATTTTGAGAAGTGTTTTTCTCAAAAGTACTTTTCAAAAAAGTATTTTTGGTGAGAAACAGTTTATGTTTGGATAATTAATTAGAAAAACACTTTTGAGTAATAATTAGTGTTTGACCAAGCTTTTGAAAACTGCAGTGCTTCTTAGAAAAATGCTTTTGGAGAGAATCTACTTTTTTCTGCTTCTAAAAAACTGCTTCTGCTTCTCCCCAAAATCACTTTAATTTTTGACCAAAAGCACTTTTGGCCTAAAATAAATCTTAGGCCAAATAGGCTATAAGCCATTAACTTCAATTATGTGAACTTCAGAAAAAATTATCTGTACTAAATCTTAAATTAAAAGAAAAAGAAATTTTTGGTGGATTAACGACCACAAAGTATTCTAACTATATTAATTCTTCTAAAGTTATCTTTGGAACAACGATGAAGTTGTCTCCGTGTGACATATAGGTTACGTGTTCAAGCCGTGAAAGCCGTTACTAATACTTGTATTAAGGCAGACTGTCTACATCACACCTCTTGGGATACGGTCCTTTTCTGGGCCCTATGTAAACACGGGATGTCTTGTGCACCGGACTGCCCTAACTTTACGTACAAAATTTGTTGGAATATGCTTATTTAAGCATGCTATTATGAATGAAGTGTGAATGTTTTGGAGAATTCACATAGTTGTTTCTTCAACCGGGATTAAAATATAGTTCGCAAAGGTGAATTGAAGTAGAAGTCGGCTGAAGAGAAGAATAAAAAGAAATCAGTAGGGAAATGCAAAGGCCTTTCCGACGTTTCCCCGTTTCTTATTGGATCTTGATGGGCCCATTTGGGCAACTTTGCATTTAGCCCATAAATATATAGATATCAAGCCCACAATATTTGGGAGAAATTCAAAAATAGCCAGATTTACAACTGGTCGTTCAAAAATAGCCTAGTTTCAAAAGTAATCGAAATTTAGCCATTTTTCATGTAAAGATAAATCTGAGCGAAAATACTGTTTAAAACCCGGAAATGACGCCAGTATATTATACTGGAGTTCCAGCATAAGTATGCTTGAACTCCAACATAAGTATGCTTGAACTCCAACATATTATACTGGAGTTCCAAGATAAGTATGCTGGAACTCCAACATAATATGATGGAGTTTCAGCATAATATACTCAAGTTCCAACAAGTATAATTGTCCAGTATAATATACTGGAAATTGGAGCACCGGTGCTCCAGTCTCCAGTATATTATACTGGAGTCAGCAAAGCATACTGGTCCAGCATAATATGCTGGAGTTCATACACAGGTGCACCGAACTCCAGTATATTATACTGGAGTCAGCAAAGCATACTGGTCCAGCATAATATGCTGGAGTTCATACACAGGTGCACCGAACTCCAGTATATTATGTTGGACCGATTTCTGTTGCAGCAAAATAGTGGCTATTTTTCATTGACTTCGTAAACACTGGCTATTTTTGAATGACCAGTCCGAAAATTGGCTATACCGTGCTATTTTTACCAATATTTCGCCAACTTCTTGTTGAGAAATTCAAATTCCATATGGGCCAACGTATAGTAGAATTTCCGGGAGAAATTCAAAAGGAATTTTTTCATTCCTATACACTATTTGAAACTTTATTACCTTTAATGTTCATATTTAGCTAATTATCCGGCATAAACAAATTTTGTTTACAAAAAATATATGATCTACCTTGAAAGGTTCCCAAATCCATTATTTGTGCCTTCAATCAAGGGATTTAGTTACACCCTTTTCCTTTTTTTCCTCCTCTCTCCCCCTCTTCTTTCAAAACAAATGCAATTTAGATATTTTTTCCTACTTATATTCTATATTTTTTTCCCTACTATTTCAATTGTAATCAAAATTTAAAATCTGGAAAGGGGCAAATAAATGAGCTTAGCTAGTAAGTCACGTTACCTCACAAATTTGGAAGCTTCCTTCAACCAAACCAAATACTGTAAAAAAAAATCAAAAAGAAGGCTAAAATATGGTATTCCATATTTATAAATCAGATCTTGTTATTGAAGGAACCAAGAGAAAGATGAAAAAAGCATACAGAGAAAATGTAAAAGTTCAGGCACAAACCTCCATCAGGTTTTGTGTGCATTAAATTGTAACTCAAAGTAATTTTTTTGTTAGGTTTGAATTTATAAAATCAGTTTTATCTGTCTCTAACTCTCTGTCTGCATAATTTATTCAATTGTCAATTTGTTAACATATTATGAATTCGTTTATAAGCACACAATTTATTCATGGAATTTTTTTGTACACTATCCAGTTAAATACAACTAAACTATACAACTTAAATACAAATTTGATACAAAATTTAAAACAATATGTCTTTTATATATTTTGTATCTGATTTATACATAGTAAAAATAAATTTCATACAACTAATTATATATTATACAATTTATCTACAACTTTCACACATTATTTCTACCCAATTAAATACAACTACAAAAACATACAATTTAAATACAAATTTTATACAATATATCTTTTGTATACTTTGTACCTGATTTATACATAGTAAAAATGAATTTTATATAACTACTTATATATTATACAACTTATCTATAACTTTCACACATTATTTCTATCAAGTTAAATATAACTACAATAACATACAACTTAAATACAAATTTTATATAAAATTTATACAGTATGTCTTTTGTATATTTTGTATATGATTTATACATAAAAAATAAATTTCATACAACTAATTATATATTACAAAATTTATCTACGCTTATCTACAACTTATCTACAATTTTCTTACATTATTTTTACAATTTTTCTACAATTTTGTAAATATAGTGCATATCACGTCTTCTTCTTCTTCTTATTCGACTTTCAATATGAAATTCAGCAAAAATCAAGTCTAATCTTCACCAAAACACTCTCAAAATTGAGATATAAACTCCAAACTATATTCCCAATTGTTTGCAACAACACCCAATCCAAACAATTAATGATTTTTGAAAACCCAAATTCGAATTCAAAGATTCAAAGTTTTTTTAATGGTTATATGGTGGAATTGCTGCTCTCTTTTCCTTTGCTTTACATTACTGGAATTAGGGATTGAGAGATAGAGAGAGACGTAGAGATAATTCTCAATTGTTTTGCAATAATACCCAATTCAAACAAGCAATATTTTTTGAAAACCTAAATTCGAATTCAAAGCTTCAAATCTTTTTAATAGCTATCAATGGTGGAACATCTGATCCTTTAAATTTGTTAGGGCTATTCTTTGAAGCTATGTTCTTCTTCATTAAAAATCGTTTAAGCTAGCTTTGCAAAAGTTGTTAATGGAGGTATGAACTTTGAAGAAGAGTACAAATTTTGACTAATTTTTGAAGAAAGTACTTGCAAAATAGGTTAACAGTTTTTGGCTGGTTTTAGAAGAGAAAATTGTGGGTGATTGAAGAGGAAAACGTGGGGTGTGGTTTGATACGTGGGTGAGGGGGTGGGATTTGGAGAGAGAAACGTGGGGGAGTGGGAATATACGGTAGAGTTAAATTAGGAGACTAATTAATATCACTAAATCTCCTAAAATGTACATAAATGGTAATTAGGTATATAAAAGATAGTTATATTAAAAGTTGAGTAGGGAGGGTAATATAGATTCATATATGGTATAGGAATGTAAAAATCTCATTCATAGCCAGATTTATAAGTGGTCACTCAAAAATAGCCACAGTTTCAAAAGTAATCGAAATTTAGCCACTTTTTATGTAAAGATAAATCTAAACGAAAATACTGTTCAAAATCCGAAAAATATTCCACTAGAGTTCCAACATAAGTATACTGGAACTCCAGTATACTGGAGTTCCAGTATAATATACCGGTCCAACATAATATACTGGTGTCTCCAGTATATTATACTGGAACTTTCCGCGTGTTGGAGTTCCAGCATAATATGCTGGAAGTTCATACACAGGTGCACCGTTCTCTAGTATATTATGCTGGAACTTTCCGTATTGCAGCAAAATAGTGGCTATTTTTTAATAACTTTGCAAATGCTGATTATTTTTAAATGACCAGTCCGAAAACTGGCTAGCCCGTGCTATTTTTACTAGAATTTCCTCGTACTTAACTTATCAC